GGAGAATGAAAAGAATGTGGTGTGACCCAGTTGGTTGGGTGTCGTCCTATAAAGCTAAAAGTTGCTGGTTCGATTCCCAGTTAGGGCACAGCCTGGGTTGTGGGTTTGGTACCCACACAGGGCACAAGCAAGAGGCAACTGATGTTTCTCTCACACCAGTGTTTCTCTCCCTTTCTTTCTCCCTTCTTTCCCTCTCTCTAAAAATAAAGAAAATCTTTTTAAAAATAAAAACGAAGCCTAGAGACAGGTACATTACAATAGGAGTGTGCTCTGCATTGTCTGCTTCTGAGAGGTCAAGTGTTATAAAAGAAGACTATTGGCTGTGTAGGTTGAAAAGTCTTTGGTGAGAACGGTTTCAAATGTGTATTGAGAACTCAAATAGTGGGGGGTTGAGAGGTGACTAAGGAGAAGGGAAATGAAAACAATGATTATAGTCTATTATTTTTTAAAAATTTGGTTGTTGTAAAAAGAGACTGTGGGAACTATTTTTTCCTGTAATGCTTCACGCCCAGTTGCACCTTGGTGAAAGCTTGAGTGATTCATCACCAAGAACATCACAGCAGACCTGCGTAATTTTCTTCTCAGTGCTAGTTTTTCTCTGGTTCCCCTCACACCACAGAGAATAGAAGGGGTCAGGAGGTACTTCTCTCTCTGTTAGATATGATGTGTGCTTCAAAGGATTACTTTACCTCTCTTTGAAATATCAGATAGTAGCTCTCCCTTCCAGTGTAATTACTTGGTATTGGGAAAAAACTCTGCATAAATTGTTTTTTCGTAAGCTGTTTATTAAAAGCTCTTTAAAATAGCAAGGGCTGTGGTTAAATTGATTAATTTCCTAATGTTGTGAACTTTTTCATTTAGTCCTTAGCAGGGAGAGCATCCATCAGCAATCCAGGAATGGGTGAAGCAGGGAACTTTGGTGGGAATAGCTTCATACCAGCAAATGGTCTCACTGTGGCCCAAAATCAGGTAAATTATACATACCCACGTTACTCCAGAAATGCAAAACATAGACAGTCCTAAATGTTGTTATTTTCTTAGCGGTTCTAAGGCTTTCTAAGAACCTAACTTATTTCCTTCCTATAAAGACACTTAGGTTTAATAAGGGGGCTGATTCAAAGTAGTTGCTAAAATCTTGCTGATTTGAATGTTCAGGTGCTGAATTTGATTAAGGCTTGCCCAAGACCTGAAGGATTGAACTTCCACGATCTCAAGAACCAGCTTCCACACATGACTATAGCCTCAATCAAGTGAGTATTTGGTTTCTATGAGCTAGTGCTCCAGAAGTATACCCATTGCACCTCATCAGAGTTCCCTGGTAATGAGAAGTGAGTTTAAAATATGTGTTGATTGCAGCCTGTTGACAGAAGGAAGTTGTTCAGTCATGGAAAAATAGAAAAAGAACTCACAAAGATGGTGTTGTCACATCACTCATTCATTTATTCATTCAACAAATACTGAATCCCACTATGTGCTGGGATGTAATTTTGAGCAAAAATTGACCTAATACTTCTTGTTGATTTAATCTGGAGGAGTGAGGTCCTTAGCTTCTGGTCCTCAGGCATATGGTCCCATTTGAGTTACTGTGGAGATGTGTGCATCAGGCTTCCTGGACCTGAAGCCATTGGATGGGCCTTGCCCACTGTTCCTGTCCTGACAACATGTCAGATAAGCAGCTTCCTGATTCCAGTGAACTAATTGACCACATTGAGTGTTATGGTGCTTGTTACAGTTGTTACCATAAATTGGTTATATTCTAGGACTAGATAGAAAAGAAGTGCTCAGGTCTAATTCCAGGAATTAGGTCTGGAAGTGCTCAGGTCTAATCTCAGGAATTAGATGTGGATATGAGGATATCCTCTAAAATGAGGATAATAGTTTCTGTCTCAGTTACTATAATGATGAGGTACAGAATGGCTGTCACATAGTAGGTGTTCTAGAAATTGTTACTGTTCCTAAATATGTTACTGACACTGATCCTGAGAGCCTTGAAGAGTTCGAAGGTCTCTTACCACTTCTGGGAAGACCATCTCTTTACTTCCTGCAACTTTACTTCCCAGAGAGGGTGGTAGTGTTTCAGTAAGTGGATGGGTGGGGAGGAACCACTTTTAAAAATAGCTCTTTACTCTAGGGGATTTTTATGTGCAAGCTGGACTATAGCTTTAGATCCTTATTTTTATTTGCTTAGACTGGTATTGAAGTAAGGCCCTATTTTTTTTTGCCTTTACACAATTTGGGAGAGGGATCCAAGGCAGTCCTCTCCTAGTAGCCATTGTCTCCATGGATTTTTTTTTTTTACCAGCATCTCTCCCTGCAAGAGCTTTCTGTGAGCAAATGGCTGTGAATTCTTAACCAAGATAGAAAGTGGGGATGGGGGAATGGTTGAAGTTTACATTTTTGGCAATATCAGAAAGGCAGTTGCCTTTCTCCTGTATAGTTTGAAAATGGGCCTTTGCTGTGTCCTGTGCCCTTTTAAGGTCAACCCAGTGCCTTCAGAGGCTCACACAGAAGGGTAAAGTTGGTCTCTGTAAAACCCAGAGAAGAGATGGTAAAACTCCTCTTTGGAGCCTGTCTGGTGTCACAGCTGAAAAATTATTTTAATATAAGAATTTTTTTAAAAAGTGAACCTTTCCCCCTGCCCCCTCTCTTTCCAGGCAAGCTGTGGATTTTCTTAGCAATGAGGGACACATCTATTCTACCGTGGATGATGATCATTTTAAATCCACAGACGCAGAATAACTGGACCTGATTGAGTACCCAACATGTTTTCCAGCTGGACCTATTTTCATGATCTGTTTTCTCCAGCTGTGCATACGTTTGACCAGTTGACTTCTAGAAAGTAAGTTTTTTCTGTAAAAGGTCTCAGTTGATCTCCTTTTGAAACTTACTTCTCTTCTGTTTTTTTGAAGCTCAAAGGGAGATGGCCAACTGATGGGTGGGGAGATGGCCAACTGACAGATGTGGTCCAGAGTGGTATTTCTTAGAGAAGTTACAAATTAGGAAGTTATAGTAACATCAGGAGACATGGAAATGGAAGAAGGATGCTACCAAGAGAGTTCGGCAGTATTACTTACGTAATTCTCAGGAGTTTCTATTCCTAAAATGTTTTCTGTTGAGAGAAGATGAGGACAACTAGGGCCTGTCAGCAGAGAGCCACCCAAGAAATGTGCTAAGGTCTGCCTGGTTTTGTTCCGTTTTGGTTATGTGGTGTTACTTTCAGAATTGCACTTTCCCTCAACTTGTCATGGCTGATGCCAAAAGCATTTTTGTAAACATGAGGTTCTAGAGTGGTGGCTTCATGTGTCAGGGGAGACTAAGAAATGTTACTGTGTTTTGTACAAAATAAGTGCATCTGTGTGGTTAATAAAAGTTATATTATTGTAGTAACTTGTGAAGATATCCTTATTTTTCTTTTTAAGTTAGTGTAATTACTACCTTATCTGAGACTGTATAACATGGCTCGACTTGGGTTTGACGTCTTGGCTGTCCCTCTTCTCAGGAGCTTGAGCAGCATAACATTGGCTCTGAGAGCCTCTGTGGATGGAGGACGGCAGTGGGGCCCACCCGGAGAGCTCAGCTGGTTAGAGCCTTGTCCCAGTAAGCCGAGGTTGCGTTCGATCCCTGGTCAAATCGGTATCTCTCTCTCTCACAATTAATTTAAAAACAAAAAGAAAAGACAACAATGTCATTTCCTTATGGGTTTGTTATGAAAATTGAATGAAATAAAGTTTATAAAGCATCTAGCATTACCATTAGTGAGGGTTATAAAGCAGGCCTTCATCTTGACTCTGGCAGTACATAGTCATGTGACTGAATCAGGCACCTGCCATGTCACCTCAAGGTGAAACAAAGCCTCAGCTATTTTTTGGCCAACTTAATCAGCTCCTTTTCTTGTGGGAGAAGAAACTAGTTCAAAGATGTTTCTGACAACTCCAGAAAGTAAGCTACTTCTTAAATTGAAAGAACTTAATTCTGAGGTAAGTTAATGAGGTGTATTATGCAAATAAAAATTCTATGATTGTTTTAACTGTATTTCTAAATGAGATCTTAGCAGCTGTGTGGAGAAGGCTCCACCTCCCTGGTTTCTGACCGTGAACAATAAGGTGGTGGTTACTTTCTATACATGTGGAGTAGTTCCCATCTTTGGAGTAGTGCAGATGTTAAAAGTCAGCCACTATGTTTGCTTCTTGATCGTTTCCTATAAAGGACGGTGAGCTAAAAATAGGTTACAAAAACCATATACATTGGAATTTGGAATGCATGATAGGACACTTTAATGGGTGGTGATTTCTTCCTAGTTGTCAGGCTAGTGCTCTCCAATGGAAAGCACTACTGCAAGGCAATAGCAGTGGTTCTGGGCAGAAGTCTTGATTCTTTTGATTTTTGAATTTGAGTAATTAAAAACTACTTCTTGCTAAGTCAGGTGTTGAGTATCTACTGTGTCAGCCCATTGGTCAGGCATGAGGAATTTAAAGCAAAATAAGAGATTGGAGTCACAGGACTTGCTGGTTCAGCATTCCCAGGAGCACAGAGTAACTGCTCAGTGGCGCTGAATTCCCTGCCACTTTGGCATTTACACAGTTTTACAGAAGTTCTGTGGTTTCTGAGCACTACGGAGGCCTGTGAGGCAGCCCATTCCTGAGCAGGCTGAAACGCCAGCCTTTAGAAAGCTCCCCTGCTCCAGCAGGAGGCATTTGCACTGCAGGCATTTGCGGTCACCTGGGATGTATATATAGTGTTGTGCTAGCACGTCACTGAGACAGCATGAAACAAGTTCCTGTAGGTTCCAGCTTCTTAGAAACACCCCCAACACCACAGCCAAGCAGTGAGTCCAGCCTGCTCTCCAGAGTCTTTCTCTAGGTATACGTGGGCAGTTGGACTCCTTGAGAATAGTGTTTTATTGGGTTTAACTAAAGAAAGGCCAGTAAGAGGTAGTGTCCGATGTGGTGCAATTGATTTCTTTTTTAAAATGCAGGTGAGAGAAATTCAAGACTCGTTAATAAATTTTTTTGAGCATATGCCTCTAATTTATATTCATTTTATTATATTAGTATGTTATATATTATAAAACATTCAAAAATATAAGTGAAAAAGAATATTAAAAATATGAAGGGATGTACTAATAACTCAGATGTTCCAGTAGACCATCTCATGTACTCCCAGGCGTGTGCTCACTTTGGACCACTGCTCAAAGGGAATCTCAGTCCCCATCAGAACACCTCCCACGCCCAGTGGCTTATTCCCGAGGTAAAGAAGACAAAAGCACCCTGCAGGTAGCATCTGCCTTGGGTCCACCCTGCTGACCCTCACTGCTCTTGAGCGCACACGTGCAGTTGAGATTTTCACACATTTTCCTTTTAAGTCCAGTTTTCCTTGTAAAGTTTCTTCCTTTCTCATTTGGCCACTCATTAGTTCCTTTGTAGAACTATCAGCCCTCTTCTCTGCATCCTTTTGGTGATCTTCCTCAATTTGATGCCAAAATTAAATGTGAAGTGAAAACTATGGTTGTTTTTTTGCATGTGGGCTTGGCCCCTTGGGTTCTGTGCCAGGGAGGAACTTTCTCACTTTGTTGCTTACTGGTTGTCCCAGAATAGTCTCTTCCTCGGGATCCTCCTGTGCAGTTTAGCTTGCCTTCCTAGAGGAGGGCTCGAGAATTTTAGGGAAGATGAGGATGGAGTGCTAAATATTTCAACCATGGGAAACTCCATACAGTGATACAGAGACCAGGAGGCCTGGAAAGTCCAGTGGGTGTGGACAGGCCAGAGGGATGGGAGGCAAAAAGATGACAGATCCTGGGGGACCCCTAGAGTCCAGGGGTTGGAAATTTGACCTTCTTTCGTCTCTCACCTGAGCTGGAGACTCAGATCAACTTTGTGTCTGTCTCCTGTCCTCTGCTGACCATGATGGTCAGTTCTAGGAAACTATAGTCCTTCCACTTCAGGAAATGAGTCCTGTGGTCTCACTTCCCTGACCGAACAGGCCTAAAACAGCCCTGGAAGCTGAGTCAAACAGAGACAGTACCATGACTAGGAGACATTGTGGACACTAGGAGCAGAGGTCTGATCTTGGTCAGTAATAATGATACGTGTACCAGGCATTGTGTTAAGTGATTTACAAAGGTCACCTGATTTGATTCTTGAAGCAGTCTTGTGAGGCAGATGACTTAGTTTCATTTTACACGTGAAGAAATTATATCTTAGGTTAAAATAACTCGCTCATAGTCACAGCTGACAGGTGGTGGGCAGGGATCCTAACGCAGGTTCGTGACTGGTCTGCCTCCTGAAACCTGATCACTCAAGCTTGTTTCCTGGTTTTTGAAATCAGGCTATTGTCTGCCTCAGAAAGTTGAGGCTATAAATAGGATGGTAAAGGGTCTGGCACACAAAATAAATGAATTTTGCATTTTTCCAGAAGCTCAGGTATCATTTTTAGTTTAGTTTTTGAGTGAAATAATCTTAGGTAGTCAGCTGCAACTGCTGTGCTAGGTGCTGCAGAGATGAGAAAGTCCTGGTCTGTCAGAAGATTAAAGCTTTACTTAGCTTGGGGGCAGAGGGTGGGGTGGGAAGGAGGGTAGGGGTGGCAAACAAAAAAAAAAGTCAGTTCAGGGTGATCAGGATTGAGTCCCCCTTTACCAAGAGGCAGGAGTCACTGCTGCTATCACCAGGGTTGGTGACTTTGATTCCTTTCGTACCGACCAATAGGATAGCTGGTGTTGGGGTCGCAGGGTTGAGTAGAAACCAGCTGGCTCTTCTGGATACCAAAGCTCTGAGTCGGAGGACGTCCAGTGTAGGGGCTCCGCCCAAGGAAGCCCCAGTGGCAGGAACCTGAGAGAAGCCGGTGCAGTGTCCTTCCTGTTTTAGATAGTCCCACAAAGCCATTCATTCCCTGTCCGCAGTCTGGTTTCTGTGGGACTGTCCAAGGTCTTCTAAAGGCTTGTCAGAGTTGGCTGGTGTCCCAGACTCCCTAAGAGCAGTTAGGATGCGTGGTTCCTCCAGCATCTAGAGGGTTTTCTGAAAGTGCTCAACTACTTCTTCATAGTCATGTTCATCGCCATCTGCAAAGAAGCCCAAGCCAGTGAGGGTCGTGGCTTTATGCAGGTTACTTACCCCACTTTCCCACTTCAGGGCACACTTCTCTGTCTGGGCAGGGAAGGGGTTGGTCTGAGTGTTTAAGGTCTTTGCTATCTGGGAAACTCATTTGTTCTGACTAAACAGTCTGCAAACATTCCCCCCCCCCCCCCGCCCCCCATATCCCTTGGTGCAAGCGGGGAAGTGTTGAGAGAGGAGCTTATTTTCCTTGCCTGGACTCCGGGACCCCTGGGAGAGGGCCAGTAGGGACCCTTTAGCCTGAGTCCACCCCATACAGGCCTGACCATCCAGCCTGGGCTGCAGAAAGCTCTGCCCAGGGGCAGGACTGTGCTGAATGTGCCGCCAGCAGCATCCGAGGAGTGGAGAGGGAAGGGTAGGAGCAAGGACAAGGGTGAATGGCTGATGGGACTCACCTGGATCCAGTGTGCTGCACTTAGTGGGCTTGAGGCCTTTACGGGGAGGAATCTTGGTGTAGGTATTTGATCTATCTTCTGTGGCCTTTGCCAACGTCGTCATCTTGAGTTTGGGCAATAGAGGGCGTTGCTGTAGTTCTGAGACAAGAGAAGACTAAGTGGGGGGAAAAAACAGAAGTCAGCAGGGTCCCAGGAAACAGCAGCAGAATCTGTGAACTCTAACTTCCTTCAAATGTCACTTCCTCTGCTCCCTTCTCTACTTCCTTTTCAAGGTAGGGCTTCTCAGGACCCCGGGTTTTTTGCCACAAGCACATGACATGGTCTTTGGCAGGGGAGGAAAGGACCGGGGTGAGAGAGAATGTGGTTGCGGGCTAGAGACAGTGTCCCCGAGTTTCTCCACATAGGCCTCTGCTCAGTGTCCTTCCCATCTGTTGCTGAAGGGGAAAGGCCGTCATGACGCCTCAGGGCAGGGCGCTAGGGCGGAGAGGAGTACCTGGAGGGAGGGGGCTTGTACCGGGCTCCTACCTTGTGCCCGATGCTATGTGCCTATGTGCTCATTTAATCCTCAGGTCATCCTGAGTCACTGGGCCAGTCTCAAATTTATACAGGGCTCAGAGAGAGTATGACATGTCAAACCTTACACAGGGACTCCCTAGCTGGACCAAGGCTCCGGCCCAGAACATGTCTGTCACCTCTAAAGCCAATGCTTTTCACCCTGACCAGGTAGTTCAGTTGGTTAGAGAATCATCCCAATATACCAAGGTTGCGGGTTAATTCTCGGTCAGGACACATACAAGAATCAACCAATGAGTGCATAAATAAGTGGGACAACAAATTGATGTTTCCATCTCTGTGTCTGTCTGTGCATCCATTGTCCACTGGTCTCTCTGTGTCCACTGGTGAGAAAACGGATGCTCAGAGTCCAGGCCATGGAGTGAGTAAACTGCTACTGCGATTGGGCCTTTGCCCCTTACTGGGATCCAGTTTGGTTCAGTTCAGCACTCACTGGCACTTTCTCTGCCCGCTTTGGAGTGGGTGAGGTCTCTGCCCCCACAGGACTCTCACTGTAGCCAGAGAGACTTGGGTAAATCCAACTGAAAACTACGTGTCCCCCACCCCACCCCCCAGCTGTGTCCAACATGCAGTGTGAACACATGAGAGGGAGGACCCTGCCTAGGAGGAAATCTAAGCTGAGCCTTGCCCATGAGCCCGAAAGAGAGGGCTGATGTGTATAATGTGCTGAGGCAGAAGTCCTGGCACAGTGAGGGGCTTTGGGCACTTCTCTGAGGCTGGACCGTGAACCTCAGAGTTGGTGGGGGAAGACGGGCCTGAGAAGGTGACGCTGAAGTCAGCTGATAAAAGACCCTGGGTGCTGTGTTAGGGGGTCTGCACTACCCCTGGCAATGGGGAGCCACTGTAAGTTTCAGAAAATGAGGCCAAAACCCATGGGTGACCAGGAGAGGATTTGGAAGACCATTCTGACAGCTGCAGCGAGGGGTTGAAGAGGCTGCCAGATAGTTTAGGTAAAAAATAATGAATCTTGAACTAGGGAGTGACATCAAGGGTAGCAAAGAAAGGCAAAGCACAATGAACTTGGAATCAGAATGCTTATGCTCCAGTTCAGGCTTCCTGGTTAACTGGGACGTTGGGTGCATCTCAGGGCCTCTGAGTCCTCGTTTTCTCAGCCATAAAATATGGATTATCACACCAATATCACGACTGTCAGGATGGAATAAGAATAATACGTGCAAAGTGTTCATTTCTAAACTGCAAGTTATATACAATCATAAGAGAAACGTGATGCTAGACAAAGGAGAATGGCCAGACTTGTAGGAACCCTAACAGGTGAACCCATCCCACCAACGCTGGTTATATTGGTACCTTGATGTTTCCCTCCAGGCCGCTCTGTTTCTTCTGCTCGCTGAGGTTCTGACGCTTTGGGGGCCTGGGTGGGGGGCCTAGGCTCTCTGAGGCCGGTAACTTCCGAAGGTGGTAGTAGAAGGCATCTGTCAGCTCCTCCACTGTGGCTGCAGGGAGAGACCCAGCTGGCCGGCCGGGATGCTCCTCCTCCACAACAGTCAGGTCCAGCCACCGGGGAGGGATCTCGAAGTGCATCCCAGGCTCGGAGTCCAGGCTGACCACTAAGAAGGGTTCCGTGATCTTCTCCTCGAGCCGCAGGCCGGGGAAGAGGGGCAGAGGGTCAGCAGGGTGGCTGCTGTCCTTGGTCACCACCTTGACCTCACAGGGCAGTGAGAACTGGGCAGTCAGATCTTCCAGCTTATATCGCCGGGTGTCACTCATCTCCTCCACGAAGCTGCCAGAGAAGTAGAGAGGTAGCACAATCTGTTCTTGGTCCTCTGCCTCCTCTTCGCACTCCTCCTCCCCAGCCTGGTCACTGAGCCGATGACACATCAAGATGTCCATGTCCCCGCCGTGAGACCCATGGGCCTGACCAGACCCCAGCACCTCCAGCCTGTCTCCCATAGCCAGGGAAATGAACCCAGGGATCTCCTCCTCATCACCCTCACAGTCCTTCATGGCCACCACCCGCAGTGGCCGGCCGGGCTGCAGGGCACCTAGAAGGTCATAGGCCGTGGTGAACTCCCTTGGCCGTCGCCGCAGTTTCCCGTGGTAGGCTCCAGAGATCATGAAGTATCTGGGCACCTTCCGGCCCTTGGTTGAGGCCAGGACCCGCCAGGATGGCGAAGCCAAGCCATGGATGCAGAGCCCCTGGCCTTTCCGCAACGAACCCACCCATGGGCTGAGGAAGATGGGCGGCCCCTCCGGGACTTCCAGAATCTGTGTGTTCAAGGGGAAGGGGCCTCCCCGCGCCAGGACCTCGCTCAGCAGCAGCGGTTGGATGAAGTGGATGTGTTCAGAGGAGGCGGTGACATCCTCCACGTCGACCTCCAGGGTAGAAGGGATGCTGACGATGGTCCTGCGCACTGTGGAGGGGGCAGAGGTCAGCTCAGTGGAGTGGCCACACGCCACCTCAGCAGTGCACTCTCCAGCCCCAGCAAAGAGACCTGGGCCGGCTGACCTCTCCCGTTGTCTTTCCTACCACCACTGTCCCACCGTCCCAGATCCCTGGGCCACTCTTGCCTTCAACCTCTTTCCTTTTAAAGTTATTTTAGAAAGTTTTAAACATTTATAAAAGCAAAGAGACTAGTGCAGTGACCCCCGTGTACCCACCATCAACACTGAACTCAAGGCCTATCTTTAATCTCTACCTCCATCTATCTGTTTCCCTCCACTGGATTATTTTGCATCAGAGCCATCACATCACACCATCTGTGACTGTTTCTACGTGTACTTCTAAAACAAGGGGTGATTAAAAATTTAACAACCTAACCACAGTATCATTACTACATTGAAATAATAGTGATTATCTGATAATACCTTAATATAGAATATCCAATCAGTTCAAAGATTTTTTAAATTTTAATTTGAATTTTGAATGTAGCTTTTTAAGCTGCCTTTCTAAGTCCTTCCTGGATTTAAATAAAGAAAGGAAACTAAGTCAAGATAAACAATGAGGAAATGACCCTGGGCAACTTGTTTCCTCTCTGGATTAGTACCCGGCGCATAAACTCAAAGGGTGATTGTGGGGATGAGGAAAGCTGGCGTGTCTTGAGGCTGACCCCCCCCCACACGGAAGATGGAGCAGGGCACATCGCCCCCATTTTGCAGCTGAGAACACAGGCCCAGGGGGATGGCGATGACTTCCCTCAGGTTGCACTGTTGGGATTTTTGCTTTGTGCCAGGTGAACTGATCATTGGTTGAAGCCGGGAGATGGGGGGCGGGGGGGGGGGGGGTGTTCATTATACTGTTTTGATTTTCTCTTCAAAATACTTCATGGATTACCTGAGCTGCCTCATTATCCAGCCTGCCAAGCCCCACACACCATTAAAACCTGTGCCTCTCCAGATTGTGGTCTCTTACTGCCCAGGGCTCCCTGGGAAGGAGCTAACCTCAGTACCTGAAAGGACATGTTCAAGATGAGCCTCAAACATCTTCTACTAGAAAGCAAGAAAAGCTATTCAAGGCCACGAAGGTATGTCAAAAACATTAAGGAGCCAATTTGAAAAGGCTCCCATTGGCCAAAGTTGAGATAATTTATTCAAATAAGAATAACAATTTCAGTGGATTGGAACACTGAAAACATCTCATTGTGAGTTCATAATGATTTTTTTTTAAACCCTAAATCACCCACTGAAGGATGCTAAGGAGCAAACTCAGTATTTTAAAAACTAGTTAAAAAAAAAAGGCCCTTGCTGGTGTAGCTCGGATTGAGTGCTGGCCTGGGAACCAAAGGGTTACCGGTTCGATTCCCAGTCAGGGCACATGCCTGGGTTGCAGGCCAGGTCCCCAGTAGGTGGTGCTCAAGAGGCAACCACACATTGATGTTTCTCTTCTTTTCTTCCTTCCTTCCCCTCTCTAAAAATAAAAAAGATCTTTTTAAGAAATAATGATATTTCTTAGTCCTCAGCACCGGCTGGTGGCAGGGTTGGTGACACAGGTAGAAGAACCTAGTCAGGTCTGGCCAGCTGGAGACCAAGCCTGAACAGGGGTGAAGAATGGTGCCCAGGGACCTCTGCATACACAAACACAATGCCCTGTGTGTCCTGTACAAACTGTAACAAAGAGTAAGTGAGGAGTTTTCTCTTAATGCAGTTCCCCCATGAAGAAGGAATGACAGGCTCAAAATATCACCATTGCAATTTCTAACAAAATCATGGATCCAGGGAGTGTTCAGCAGCAGCCACTCACATCACACTGGCCTGTCCTTTGTGCTATTTGATCTACACCCCACGGCAAGGCTGATGCTCGAGTCAGTCAGGTTGGTGGCAGACACGGAGTCGAGAGGGGATTCCTTGCCCCACACCTCACATGACTATGAAAACTGTGCCCCTTTTGTCTGTTAAGCCTCTAGAGCTAAGTGCCTGTGTCCAGGTGTGTACGAATCTGGAACTAACACAGTATGCCTGAGACTGCCCTCCCTAGAAAGACAATGCCTACAGTGTTAGTCCTTGGCTGGCATGCAGGAATGTGGGTTTGGGGAGGGCTCCCCACCATTCCATGGTAAGAGTGGATCACTGTGCCCTGACTGGGTCGCTCATTTGGTTAGAGCATCATCCCAGTACACCAAGGTTGCGGGTTCTATCCCTGGCCAGGGCACATACAAAAATCAGCCAATGGATGCATAAATAAATGGAACAACAAATGGATGTTTCTTTCCCTGTCCTCCCCTCTCTCTCCCCTTTCCTCTCACTAAAATCAACAAATAATTTTTTTTTTTTAAGATGGGCCCTAGTCGAGTGGCTCAGTTGGTTGGAGCATCACCTGGTGCAACAAAAAGTTGCAGGTTCAACTCCTGGTCGGGGCATGAATGGGAGGCAACGGATCAGTGTTTCTCTCTCTACCTCTGTCTCTGTCTCTCTCTCCCCCTTCCTCTCTTCCCAAAATTAACAAATATATCCTTGGGTGAGGATTTTTTAAACAGTGAGTCATTGCCTAAACTGCAAACCATGTGATGTAGGCTGAACACCTGCTTTCCCTCTGGGGGTCTGGAATCTGGGCAGGGGTCGGGCAGCAGGGGGCCTGTGTGACCAGTCCCCAGTGAAAACTGTGGGCACTGAGACTCCAATGAGCTTCCCTCACAGACAACACCTCACACGTGTTGTCGCCCATCAGTGCTGGAGGAATTAACACCCTGTGTGAGCCCCTGGTTTCCTCTGGGCTTCTCCACATGTGCTTTTCCCCTTGCTGACTATGCTTTGGGTCATTTCGCTGCGATCCATCAGAGCTGTGAATACGACCATGTGCCGAGTCCCGTGAGTGCCCCCATTGAATCGGAGGACCTGGGGGTGTCTCAGGGCCCACCCAACGGGAAAGTCAGGGGACAGAGGGTCGGGTTCACGCTCCACAGAGGATGCTGGTGACAAAATCCAAAATGTGAAGAAGCCCACAGGCCAAAACCCTACTCCCTTTGACAGAGAAATTACAAGGAAAATTTAAAAAGGGGGGACCTATGGATTAAAAGGGACTTAAGAGACATATCAACCAACGGCAATGTTGTGGAGCTTATGTGGGTCTTGAGGTGGATAAAATAAAAAAATGTATGAGATAGTGGAGAAAACTGAAACACCGGGTGGGTGTTGCCAGCGAGTGCTGGCCATAGGAGTGATTGTCCGTGAATTTGGTGTGATGATGGTACTATGTCTGTTTAAAAAAAGTCAGTGAGCTTCCAGTCGAGATGGTGGGGTAAGTGAACTCGGTACTCGCATCCTCCCACAACCACATCAAAGTGACAACTCAACTACAGAACAACCATCATTCAGGACTGCCTCAGATTAGCTGCGAAGAAGTCCGACAACTAAGGACATGAAGAAGGACATCCAGATGGTGACCTTGCGCCCGAATGGCTGGACAGTGTGCGGAAAAACGGAGAGCCATTTTGTTTGGGACCGAGCGAGGATGAAGAAGGAGGCCTCTTCCTTCCTGAGACATCTGTCGTGGACCATGTCAGGTTCAGTGAGAACAGGATTAGTACTGAAGAGGATGACTACGAAGACGGAAAAAAGCATGAAACCAAACTCAGGCGGTTTACCAATATTTTAAAAAGTAAAAGACTTTTACACAAGCACTATAATAAAAAAAAAAAAAAGAGCAAGAAGAGTGGACCAGTCTCCATTCCAAAGCATGGGTCCAATCAGAAAACAGGAGTTGTCCAATGGAAGTACAAAGACGTGAACATCTGTGTGAACCCCAAAGAGCTAATGGTCCCCAGAGCCAAAGAGCAGCTCGAGCTTCTGGAGGCACTGGCTGGGACCATCCATCAGACCGAGTGGGGCTGGAGAAACACTGAAAACAGGCGGGTGGAGAGAGGCTCATGGTCCACGGCCAGGGGGTCTGCCCCAAAGAGTGGTCGGATATTAACCGGCAAGTGCTGCGGCCGAACGTCCGTCCTTGTTTGCCGAGACAAGTGATTAGGGATGCCCACTAGGAAAGTGATCCCAGCAGAAGTGCTGCCAGGTTGTCGGCAGGCTAAGGACTGCGTGACGGTACTTAAGGGCGTTGGGCTGCCAGGCACAGTGTTCTTACACACTTCAGTGTCTTTAAAAAAAAGAGTTGCACTTTAAAATAGAGACAGTTTAAAAAAGAAGAAGAAAAGAAACACATATTGGAGTATTTACGGAGAAATGCTGCAACACGTGGGGCCTTCTTTGAAACAGTCGGGTGCGCGGGGTGGGGAGGGTGGAGTTGAGATGAAACAACAATGGTGACGTGGGGTACTGGAGTCGTGGGGGTCTGTTATGCTCCTCCTTGCTTTTGTACAGGTTTGAAGTTTTGAACAATAAAGTAATTTTAAGATTTTTTTCAAAAACAGGGCAAAGAATCCCTGCTTGGCTCTGCCATCTGTCAGCCACCCTGACCAACTGGTCTGGTAAAGCCAGGGGGCTCAAACTCTGGCCTCCAGGGAGCAGGGCCCAGGGGCCGCTCTTCCACCTCTGCTCAGGCCCGGCCTCTGACCGGACAGACCCTCTGCCTCTGTGTCACCAGCTCGGCTCTGCCTGCTGCCCCCAGCCAGGCCTGGGAATACCCCGTGCAGCAGCTGGGGATTCAGTCCGTGCCCTCTGCCACCCCAACACAAGGACCTGCAGAAGCACCTGCTCTCCCCTGAGGCAGGAGAAGAGGCTGCTCCTCCTGAGCAAAAGGTCAAGGGTTTCACTTGGCAACTCTGTGTCCCAGCTGCTAGTAAGCTCACAACCCGACTTTGCCCAATTTTGTAAAGTATCTGGGACCTCGCTCTAGAATTAGGCTATTTTCCTATCTCCATTTACACCTAATTTCCCATTCTTTAAGAATCTTTGTTCTGTTACTCTACATAAACTGTGTAAGCCACCTGAAATCCCTAGACTGTGGCAGGGATCTTCCATGAGAGCAGCTGCCCAGGTGCCCTCTCTCCCTTCCCCACCGACCCCCACCCGCCCGTCCCGTCCCGACAACTCACTCTGCATGATGGCTTGGATCTCATAGTGCGGCTTCAGGATCAAGGCACGCCAGGGGAGGGTGGGGCAGGTGAGGAGGAGGCCCTTCAGGGCTGGGTCCTGCAGGGCCTGCAGCAGGGTCCGAGGGGCACCCGTCTGCAGTTCCCAGAAGGGCCCCTTCATGGACAGGGGCAGGTGCAGGACCACCACCTGGGTCCCCATGCTCAGCACACAGCGAGCGGAGCAGGTCCCGAGGTACATTTCCACCGCCTCGAGCATGAGGGGCTGCTCCTCAGGCACCACCCTGATCCGTGTGTCAATTTTGCAGGTGGACATGAACCAGATGGGCAGCTGCTTGGAGCTCTGGACTACAGCAGAGACAAGTTCCTCCAGGGTTCCATAGCTCTGGGGGCCGGTGAGGGGGCTGAAGTGGCCTGTGGAGCAGAGCAGAGGGGTTCAGGGTGGGGCAGGCCTTGGCTGGGTCCAGGGCCAAATGTGCCAGGCCCCGGGGCTGGCCGACGAGAACCCATCCAGATTCCCCTGAGGACAGGCGCCAAGGACAGGTCAGCATCTGGACGCCGGGGCCACAGGGCTGAGAGGTGGGAGGCAGCAAGTGACCGTGTATGAATGGACAGCGAGGAGCCGAGGTGGAGACAGTTCCTTCTGACACAGGGGCACAGACACGGAGGGACTGTTGCCAGGGAGAGAGGACAGAACGGGGACGTGCTCCTCGCCAGAGCCACTGACCGCTGCCATATTTTCCTACCTCCTGACTCCCCCTGCCTCTGACCTCGCCAACTTGGCCTCCAGATGCCTCAGGGCTGCTCCAGTGCCGCACACCCAACAGCTGTCACCCCACCCAGGGGCAGTGCCACTGTCCCTCTCTCCCAAACTAGGAGCCCAGGAGCCACTGACCGAATGAGCTCTGACCACCCCCACCCCTTACGTGTCTGCCCATTCTGGGTGCTCTCCTCCCTGTCCCTCCCCCACCCTGTCCATTCCTCTCTTGTCTAAACTAACCCCACATATGGGCGTAACTTCACTTCAGAGACTTTCCTGCCCCAAACACGCATCACACATCCAATCCAGGAAACATCTCGCAAACCCGGACTGAGGGACACTCTGCGAAAGCACTGGTCTGGACTCCTCGCAAACGTGGATGTGAGGACCAGGAAAGGCTGAGGACCCTCCCAGCCCGAGGGAGACTCAAGAAAGAGGACAGCGGCCTGCGATGTGTGATCTGGGACTGGATTCTGGATCAAGGGAAAAAACTGCTACAAAAGACATCAGCAGCCCTGGCCGTGTAGCTCAGCTGGCTGGAGTGCTGTTCCGATACACCAAGGTTGTGGTTCCATCTCCAGTCAGGGCACAGACAAGGATCAACCAAGGAATGCGGGAGTAAGTAGAACAACAAATCAGTGTCTGTTTGTCTGTCTGTCTGTCTGTCTCTCTCTCTCTCTCTCTGTGCCCCTTCTACTCTCTCTCTCTAAAATTGATAAATAATTTTTTAAAAACTATACCAAAAAAAAAAAGAAGACATTATTAGGGCAGCTGATGAAGTTTGAATATAGACCATGGTCAGACACTAGTATTACATGGATATTACATTTCCTGAACTTGATCATTAAACTATAGTTCTGTGGGCAAATGTCCTTGTTTTTAGGAGACACTAAATATTAGGAATACTATTTAGATGTAAAGGGCATCACATCTGTAATTTACCCTCAAGTAGTTTAGGACAAATATATACACATACACGTACATATATAGTAACACATATTCATGTGTAGGAGTATGTATGTGTGAAGAGAGAGAGGAAGAGAAAGAGAGGAAGCAAATGTAACAAATGTTTAACAGTGAATCTGGATAAGGGTATATAGTAGTTCCAGCAAGTCTTCTGTAAATTTGAAACTTTTTCAAAATAAAAACAAAATCCTCCAAACACAAAACAACACACATCACTTTCGCATTTCAAACCCTCATTGGCTCCTCGGCGCTTTCACAGCCCAGACCGACATGCGTCTGGGCCCCGTACAGCGCCCCCGCACAGCGCCCCGCACCTCCCCCGGCGCCCACAGCAGCGCCCATCCTGTCTGGGTGAGCGTGGCGACGGCGGCCGAGAGCCGGCCCTCACAGGGCGCCCACTCTGCGCTTCACTGCACGTTTCACGCATGGCAACCCGTTTTAGCCTCACGTCAAGCCTGAGTAATTCCATCACAGAGGAGGAAGCTGAGGCCCAGAGATGTCACAGGAAGTGGCCGAAGCCACAGTTAGTGACAGAGCAGGATCCCCACCTAGGCTTCGGCCCCGAGTCCGCCTCACCACATGCCTCCTGCCATACCTGAGTGGCATGGGGTTTCTGGAGCCCCTGTGCGCATGCTGCTCCCTCTAGGGATCCTTCCTCCAGCTCAGGTGCCACCTCCTCCAGGAAGCCTGCACAGACCGCCCTCTCCCCTCTACTGCCAGAGGCCCCTCAACTTGTGCTGACTTCTACTGTTGCCACCTCTCACAGCCACCGTGGGAGCCCCCGCTGGAGACAGCTGCCCCGGTTCATCCTGAACCCCACACCCCCAGTCCCCGGCACAGGGCCGGCGATGCAGTGGGTGTCAGTGAATGTTTAGTAAGCGAAGGTGTGATTGAACACAGAGACGGGCACGTGGACAAAGACCTGGAACAAAGAACATCCCAGTGTGGCCACGGCAGAATCAGGCATCCTCAGGCCACCCTGAGGACATCCTGAGCCTGGAGGCCGAGTGCACGTGAGAGTGGCATGTACTAACCCAGAGGGGCGGGAGTGCGTGCAGGAGTTGGCAAGCCCACGAGGGTGTCGGAAGGGGTGCCTGGAGGGTGCCAGAGCGCTTGGGGAGACAGGGGTGCCAACCTTACCCTTGAAGTTGGGGTCCAGCTCTATGGTCTGACCTGACCCCGGGTTCTCACAGATGACCTTCTGGAGGCGGAGCTGGGTGACCTTCATCAGGTCCCCCGTGGAGAGGCAGCACTCATTCCCGGAGATCTCGTAGATGGAGCCTGCGGAGACACAGACGCAGTTTCCCCGTGCGGCCAGGGCCAAGCACGCGGCGACCGGTGCCCTGCTTGGCCACACCTGTGCGCACGTGTTTCTGCCGCCTGCAATGCCTTCCCCTGTCTTTCCCTACCTGATGGCCACTGGCTCAGCTGTGCTCCATCAGCACAGATGCCACCTTTGCCTTCTTCTAGTGCTGGGTGTACCCTTCTGTGGTACACTCTCTGGCCCTCTTCACAGCCCCGCGCCTCCTGAACTCAGCTCATAGGGCAGGGCTGACCCATCTCAGCACCACGGCGGCCAGCACAGGCCTGGCCTCTCGGTATGAGTTCAAGTCATGAGTGGGTGAATGGCCCCGTGACTCCCAGACTCCCATTCCCTTATTGAGGTTATTCAATCAGGCCCAGAGAGGGTCAGTGGCTACCCCAGCTCACACAAAGCCTGACACCCACTCTGGTGCTTTCTTCTCCAGATGAGTTGTTTTTAAAGGACGTGCAGGCGAGAACAGAGGGCCACTGACAGCGTGTGCCCCGCAGGCCGGGTTCTGGGCCCTCGAAGCAGTGTCGGAAACAGGGAAGTGCTCGGTAGAGATCTCTCTCTCACAAGAGTGTGCCGTCTCCGCGTCCTGCTGATGACCGCCGGGAAAGTACAGGTGGGCGAGCCTCGAGGCCGCCTGACCCACCCCACCCTAGCCCAACCCAGGGCATCCCCAGCAGGGCCTTGGGGTGAGGAGGACTGAACTGAGACAGCGTCAGTCCTGTCGAAAGAGATGGCGTGGAAGGGAGCCATGGTTCACGTGAGAGCAGTGGAGCAATGACCAGCCCGGGTGTTGCAATCCCTCGGGCATGCGCCGTGCAATGTGGCAACGGCGCATGCTTATCTGAAGGGTAACACCACCTCTCAGAGCAGCGAGGTGGAGTGATATCATCCACATGCTTGTGGAGGTGGCACGAAACAATGTGAGCTAACGAGAGGCTGACGCAACACTGCATCGTACAAGAGTACGTAAGCAAAGGCCTGCGGACGGGCAGCTGAGACGGCCGATGGTTGCTCCGTTGCTCCCATCGACCTTGCCCCGGCTGGCTCGGAGGCCACCGTAGACTCTGCCTTCTAAGACACTGACCAGCCGTCTCCCAGACCAGACTTGACAGGGACTCCTGGGACTCAGGTTCATTATCCCCCAATTCTCTTGTGTGATGTTATTGCTGGTTGCTTCTGAGTGATTATTACTGTTACTAGGTTAGTATGCATTTGGATTGAATCTGTATTAATACAAGCTGAGTGAATAGCGCAGTCACTGTGTTGTTATTCCAGTTTGCCGGTGTTGCCTGCAGAGCTGGTAGGAGTATTGGTGGCCCGGCCCCTCCAGTCGGTGACAAAGACTGGAGTCTGGCTTACAGGAAAGACTGTAGCATGGAGACTCGTAAGGTTCGAGTATCGCTCGCAACAACCCTTCACAATAGCCCTGAGAAAGCGGTGAAAACCCCTTCCCTTACCACCAGGAAAACGTACACAGGCTCATAAAACAGTCTGACTACAGTTTTATGGGGGCAGGGCCCAGGGCTGGTGAGACTGGGGGAGGTGCTGTGGTCAGTATTGCATATGCGTCATTGCATTTATGACCCATGACTGCCCTCAAAAGCACAGACATTTCCCTTCCCCGAATGAGGAAACTGAGCCTCGGTGAGGCCCCATGGGTGGCCCAAGACCAGAGGTAAGGAGAGACCTCATTGAGACTTGAGTCCAGGTGCTTGCCTCCAAAGTGGCAACTCCTAACCCCTTCCAAGTGTCCAGGCCGGGCGCCTGAACCATCAGTGTCACAGTTTCTCCCTCTACGCTCACCCCCGCCTGCACACTCGCATCCCTCTGGTCCTTCTCTTACACTAACTTCCGTCACTTCCCACCACCCAGCTCAGGCAGAATGATGAAACTCAGATATTAAGACACACAGCAAGCAGAGTGTATCGGGAAGAGAGCAAACGTAGCACAGGTGCCTGTCAGAAGCCCCCAGAGGTAGAGTCCTTATTTGAACCCAGATCCATCAGACTCCCAAATGGATCTGGCTAGACCCGCTGTGTGGTGGCCTGTCCTGTCCCGTCTATGGCCCTCCATACGTCTCACCCTCGGTCTAGGACACCCTTGGGGCCTCAGAATTCTGGAAGCTGGTGTGGCAGTGTGAGGAAACAGAGAGAGGGGACAAGATGGCCAGGGCAGCCACGCATGAATTTGCTCGCTAAGGAGGGAGCTTCCCTCGCCCCACCAAGCGTCTTGGTTCCCTCTCTCCTCCTCCTCCTTCCCTATTCTGTCTCCCTCAGCTCATCCCTCACCACCAGCAGCCTGCATTTCCCATCTGCTGAGCAGCCACTCTGTCCTCTCCCTTCCACTGCCCGCCAGTCCCTGCCCCCTTGCTCCTTCAGGTAGTAGCGAGTGACCGAGACCCTGCTGTGCACTAACCACCTGTGAACAAGGCAGGCTGTGGCCAGGGGAGCAGATGTGCCGGCCTGTAAGGAGCAGAGGGCGGGGAAGGCTTCCAGGATGAGGGGCCATTAAGCTGAGGACTGAAGAGCTGATCAGGTCAAGCACTGTCCATTGCCGAGCAGAGCACAAAGGTGCGATGGAGGGACCAAAGGAAGCTGGCGTAGATGGGTGTCGAGGGGAGCAGGAGGCTACACGGAGCAGAGGGCTGACCTGGCACTTAAGAATCAAGCAACAGCACAAGTCCTGAGCGCCCTAACGCTGGAGCCCCGCACAGCCGCCCCTCAATCAACGCGCACAGCGGTCCCACGCCGCCTTGGCTGGGCTCCACCCCGCCGGGAGTCGGAGCTCATTACAACCCAGGTTGAGTGCAGCCCCAAATCACACGGCAGTGGCAGCGTGGGGATTCGAAGCTGGGGCGCACTTTCCCGGGCTTCCAGCGCGCCGGCAGCGCCTCTGCCCACACACCCGGGAGGCCCTGGCCGCCGCGGCGCTGCGGGTCCGGGGGGGTCCGCCGCCGCCCACTCACCCTGGAAGTAGACGCCCGAGCACACCCGCAGCACTCGCGGGAGAGTGGCGGGATCCAGGGCGCAGACAAAGTCCTGCAGCGGCACGGGCTCCATGGTCCGCGAGGCTCACTGGACGTGGACTGAGTGGCCGGGGCCGCGCTCCCGCCGGAGCCCCGCCCCGAGGGGTGGGGCCGCTCGGCCGGGCCCGCACGCCGGGTGAGCCGTTTCCCTCCCGCGCCCCCAGTTTCTGCATCTCTAGAATGGGTTGCAGTGCCCACCTGTCACCTTGGCGGCACGACTTGGATCTCGGTCAGGAAGGTTCTGCGTGAGTGGAAGCAGGTCCCCACGTCTGCAGTCGTCCGTGACGGACCCGGCGGTGCAGGGGGAAGACGAAGCCCCGAGGCCCCCCGCGCCCGCTCCCTAGCCCCGCACCCCCGCGGTCCTCCCGGTTGCAAGGGAGCGCGGCCCGCCTGGTGTCGCTCGGGGTCTCCCGGAGGCGCACAGCCCTGCCCTTCGGCTCCGAGAAGGAAGAGAGAGCGTCGCGGTACCTGAATCCCTCGGGGCGCGCCGTGGTCCTGTACTGACTGGGAGCTCGTGACCTCTCAGGACGCTCCTACTCCCTGGACAATTCTAGTTGAAAGGTCTTCTTGGGCTAAAGAGAAATCTCCTTAGGAGAGAGTCCACTCTCCTGTCCTGACCCCACAAGAACAGATAAAGCTTTTATATTTCCCTGTCCCTCGGGAGTCAGATCCACAGAGGCTCAAATCTCACCTCCTCATCTTGCTTGTTATATAACTTGAGGCAAATCGCTTTGATTTTCCGAGTTTTAGTTTCTCTGTCTTATCTCATTTAGCTGGATGTGAGGATTAATTGAGATGATATAGAGCCTTGGCTGGTGTGGCTCAGTAGATTGAGTGCTGGCCTGCGAACCAAAGGGTCACTTGGATTCCCACTCAGGGCACATGCCTGGGTTGCAGGCCAGATCCCCAGTAGGGGGTGCTCCAGAGGCAACCACACATTGATGTCTCTCTTCCTCTCTTTATCCCTCCCTTCCCTTCTCTCTAAAAATAAAAAAAAATCTTAAAAAGTAATAGAAGACTTCTAATCAGAATAAAGAATGTTTAAAAGACAAGAATAAACCCTAATTAAAGACATTTGACAAATAAAAAGAAGACATTCTTTTTCTACCACCCAAATATATTTACTACTAAAATTTGGCTGTATTTCTTTCCACTCTCTTCTGCCTGTGGGGTTTTTTTTTTTAATTTTTGATTTACAGTAAAGTCGCAAAAATAGTAGACATTTCCCATCCAGCCCTCAGCTAGTTTCAAATCCCCCAGTGCCGCAGTCTCACATTACCATAGCACAGTTGTCAAAACTAAGAAACCAGCTTTGCTGAATTAATGTTAGCTAAACTGGAAACTTTACTTGGATTTTATCTGTTTTTCTGCTGATGACCTTTTCCTTTTCCAGAACCTCACCCAGGATCCCAGATGGTGTTTTGTCGTCTGTAACTAACACGCTCTCAACTTTTCCGTGTTCTTCTCTTGACCTTGACAGTCTTGAGGAGCACTGGTCAGGCGTTTTGCAGAAGAATGTCGCTTAATCTTTTTTTGTTTTTTTCTGATGTTTTCCTCATGACCATCCTGGAGTCTTGGATTAAGGGGCATGTGCCCCTCTCACCACACCCTCCCTGGGGCGTGTGTGGCACACCGCATGACTTCTCACTGTGATATTAACCTTGATCGCTTGATTAAGGTGGGATTTCCAGGTTTCTCCACTGGAAAGTCACTAGTGTCCCCTCTCCATGTACCCTGTTGTTTGGAAACAAGGCACTGGGCGCATGCATCATGGGGGGGGGAGGTAAGCCGCACCTCCTTCGGGGGGGGGGGCGTAACCAAATAAATTACCTGGAATTTCTTTGTCAGAACGATTTTCTCTTCTCCTCACTTATTTATTTATTCAACTATCAATTTATGCTAGCATGAACTCATGTATATTTATTTTATACTCTTACAACCTAATCCTATGTTATTTAATTTGTTGCTCAAATTGTTCCAGCTTTGGGAGTCCCTCCTGGCTGGCTCCTGGGTCCCCCTGCCGGGACCCCTTCCTTCTGTCCCAGAGCGCGTCCTTACTGTCTGGTGCTACGAGAGGCTCCAGGCTCATCTTGCCTTTTTCCTGCCCCAGCCCTACGTTTCTCCTAGAAGTCCTTGTTCCTTTTATTGGAGAATGGTGTTCAGGAGCCACGACTGGGTCACTGACAGAGCTCTTTCCCACTGGCAACCTATTATTTTTGTTATCTTTTTCTTCTCTTGCGTAAACATTCAGAGACATGACTGTGCACCCCAGGACCCAGCCCTCACCTTCGAGGAGAAACTCTTGGGCAATAACACTCATGGAAAATCGCAACTTCCTTTTTCTCATTGCACCTATATCTCGTGAGAATTTCCGCCAGGCTTCTGGGCACAGAAGCAGACCTACTGAAACTAGTAGGCAAAAGCCTACTATGACAGATATAGCAAAACTATTTCCTTGCCATTACAGTTTGCAGTCTCTATTTATGCATGCAATTGCTATCTTAATAATTGGCTAAATCTCTCAGCAATTAGAGAGTTGGCTTCCTGGGGGCAGAGGCTGGGCTACCAGACTGCTTTGCTCCCCAGTGTATCACACAGAGCCTGGCACATAGTAGATGCTCAATAAATTAGCATTGAGACTCGTTGAATAAACAGGTGGAAAATATTTTCTTGGGGTAGGTTCCTGAAGTGAAATTCCTGGGTCAAATGGTAGGATGGTTTTCACAGCCCCCAAGGGTGTATTTCATTGGTGCTGAAAGGCTCCTGAGCCTCCAATGAACCTGGTAAGATAAGAGAGGAGCAGAGATGAGTGGAACCCAGAGGTACGCAAGGGCCCTGGGCCCAGGAGGAGGGTCTGCTAAGGGGAGGAGAAGGGACAGAGGGGGCATTTCTACGTGTTTCCAGAAACATCAACAGATGTGATTCTCTGATCGTGTACTCCACGCAGACCTTATACAACCATTTGTTCATTTATTCTCCCTACAAGCAGGCAAAACAAACATTATTATTCCCGCTTTACAGATGTGGGAACTGAGGCTCAGAAAAGTGGAGGAACTTGCCTGAGATCATGCACTGAGAAATGGAGATGCTAGGATTTTAACCCAGCTCTGCTCAGCTTTTCCTGCAGGCTGGAGAAAGTGGGAAGTATCCCTCTCTTCTCCATGTGCAAGTATTTCAGCAGGCCATGCAACTGGCAGATTTCTGCTCAGTCCAGCTTTGCCTAGAATTGTGGCAGGGGATGAAGAATAAAAAGACAGGCTTTGGAAACAGAGCTGGGCTCAAATCCTGGCTCCTCCACTTCTTAGCTGTGTGATCTTGGGCAAGTTCCTTAACATCTCTGAGCCTCAGCCCCTCTCTGTACAATGGGGAGTGCTGGGAGCTGGCGTGTTGGCAAAAATAACACAGGCACACGGGCACACGCTGGGTGCTCGACCTCACATCGTGTCATTGCTACTGCCAAGGGCCTCCTGTGCCTCTGACATTTGTCTGAAATTTAAGATGTCATGTGCTTTTACTCATCACTCTGCTTTCTGTTTTAGGAAAATAAGATTCTGAGTGGGAAACTGTCTTCCTTGCTGTTGCACAACATGCAAATGGAGGAACTGGAATTTGAATTTACCATTGCCCAAGCCCTTTCCACTTCCGCAGACTGGGAGCCTCGGCCTGGTCTCCATGTTTCCTAAGAGCTGAGCAGGGTATGGAGAGGGAAGCTCGGGCTCACACTGAAGTGGGAAGAGGAGGGTGGAAAGGAGACCCAAGAGGACACCCACGGCAACCCAGAGTTGGGGTCGTCCTTTTGCCCACCAGTCTCTATCAGAGTTTTTGGAACTGAAGGTGAAGGGTCCCGGGCCTCCGCTGGGCAGCCGCTGGTCAGAGTAGCAGGATGACTCAGGGTGGCCGGGGACAGGTGCAGCTGCGTTGGCGCCATACACTCTTGTGCGTGGTATCCTGTGGCCTGGTACTTTCCGACAACATACCAGGGGGTGGGGTGGCCCTGCAGTACTTACCTCCCCCTTTCTAGGAGGAAAGTATGTGTTTCAATATAACATTGAAACGACACTGGATGGTGGTTGTTACAGTGATTTGCTGTTCACTTACATGTCCACCAGTTTGGCACGTCAGTCCAGTGCGGTGGAAAACACACCAGCAGTCAGGAAGGTCAAGACCAAGATTTGGGAGAGATGTGGAGAGTACCTCAGCTCCAGGGGTGAGTGAGATGGGCCGAGGCTTGACGCCCTCTGTTTGCTGGTCCCCTCATGCGCATCTGTCCCCACGGCCTGGAGGCTTCCCTGCTGGCTGCTCTGAGGGGGCCTTGAGAAATGTGCCCTTTCACAAGTCCCACAGCAGTTTAGCAAACAAGGATACTGGGTGAGAGAGCGCCCCACCGGAGTGGATGCACGCCCACCCCTGGGCCCTGAAGCTGTGCTCTGTCTCCCTCCCCAGAGCTGCCCTCTCCCTGGGGGAGCAAGAGCCCACCTGGTGCCAGAGCCCCCGGCAGAGACCTGTGCAGAAAGCCCGCCCAGAAACCCTCCCCCCTGGGAACCATGGGGGCTTGAAAGACAATCTGTTGTCCTTTCTGTTTTCTAGATTTTTTGTTTATAAACAGAGCAGCTCCCTGCCAAGGATCCCTGAGACCATGAGGAGACAGTCAGGGTAGCAGGGTGGAGGGGGTGGCTCCCTCCCCTCGAAGATTTTCCCTGGAGGGAAAAAGCCACTTCTGGAAAAAAAATATTCAATATCTTCAAGAAGTTGAGCACGTCTGGTTGTAAAGTTTCGAAGGACCGACTTGTGCTCTGGTGAGATGGGAAAGCAAGTGTGCTGTTCTCTGGCATTCTTGTCTTTGTGAATCAGGGAGCAGACAAAGAACCCTTGTGTGGGGAGGAAGATGAGAAGGAGGGACAGGGGTGAGGAGAGGTGGGAGGAGTGAGGAACAGGAAGGAAAGAAAGCAGAGAAGAGGAAGAGGAAGGAGAGGGTAAAGAGGGGAGGGAGGGGGGAGTGCATGCGGAACTTTGGGAGCCTGCAGGGTTCCCCGGAGAAGCTCCCACAGTCTGGACCCAGGTCCTCTGGGAAGGCACTATCCCA